TGGTGCCCACTCGCCCCCGCCCCCGCCAGGTCAGGCCTGCCTGCGATCAAGGTGCCCGAGTGTCTCCAGACAGGATCTGCCTCAGCGGCTCGGTGCGTCATCTCAGCCTATCACCCAACTCGACTGGGATTGACTCTGGTTATCTCCTTGACTGGTTATCTTGGGCATCTCAGGGGCCAGCCGCCAATCTCCGTCCTCCCACCTGGCCAGGGCGGGATCAGGTGTCAGCAGCTGGACCCTGAACATCCCACCTGCCCGTCCAAACACAACGCGAGCCCAAAGGCCAGGCTCGCTCCCAACTCGTAGGACACGACCAAGCTAGGGGCCCCGGAGAGCACTGAGTCGAGGATGGGTCCCAGAGATCCCCAAATCTCCCTTGATCAATGGCCCGGCCCAGCAATCTGCATCAACCACTGGGCCCAAGCTCTTTGCTTTCCTTCTGCTTGCTCAACAAAACTTGGAGGGGAGGAACTCCAAACTTTTTTTTTTTTTTTTTTTTTGCTTTTTGGGTCACACCTGACGATGCACAAGGGTTATTCCTGACTCTGCACTCAGGGGTTACTCCTGGCTCTGAACTCAGGAGTTACTCCTGGCATTGCTCAGAGGAACATATGGATGCTGGGACTCAAACCCGGGTTGGCCACGTGAAAGGCAAACGCCATACCTGTTGGGCTATCTCTCCAGCCCCGGAACTCTGATCCTTATATAGAAAACAATGTATTTCACAATGCCATTTCAGCCATTCTGATTGTTGGGGGGTAAATTCTAAGCAATCATGGTGCATCTTTTGTCGAAATAATGAATGTAATCAATGTAGAGAAGAGTTAGTTAGAAATCATTTGCCTCATAGGCATTGGGTGGGTGGGAGGTGGGGTATATTGGGGTTCTTGGTGGTGAAAAATGAGTACTGGTGAAGGGTGAAGAAGACGGTGTTTGACCATTGTATGACCGAGACTTAAATCTGAAAGCTTTTTAACTTTTCCCACAGTAATTCAATAAATAAATATAAGAAGAAGATAGAAAGAAAGAAAGAAAGAAAGAAAGAAAGAAAGAAAGGAAAAAGAAAGAAAGAAAGAAAGAAAGAAAGGAAAAAGAAAGAAAGAAAGAAAGAAAGAAAGAAAGAAAGAAAATTATGGAAAAAAAGGTAAGGCAGAGTTCATGCCCAATTCAATCAGCTAATCAGTGGCTGGATAAGTAGCAGTACTCCTACATAAGAGAGAGAGAGAGAGAGAGAGAGAGAGAGAGAGAGAGAGAGAGAGATCCATAAAAACGCGGCAAATCTGTACCCCAAGCACACATCTCCCCAAACGATCCATTTTCCCCCACCCGAGAAAAAGCCAACACGCTATGGGTCACATCCTCCTGCCACTGACCCCCAAAACCCGATGCTCCCTCCTCCCACCCTAGGGACTGATGGCACAAACTCCATCTTTGTGTCACGCCGTACATGACACATTTGTCACTAGCACCTGATGACTCATTTCAGAACCTCAACAGAAGCCACAAAGATGGGGAGCACTGCTCGGGGAGCACCATGCAGGGGCTTCTCAGACCTTCCCTCTTCCTCTGTTCCCCACCTGTTCTGGGGAAGATGCATACACAAATGGCCGGGGGTTGAGAACAGAGGAACCAAGCTGGGAGGAAGCAGCTGCTTGTGTTTTGTTTTCTCTGGTGACCTCTAACTATGGTTCCTCTTAAGAGACAAAGAAGGCCACAAATAAGCAAACACTCTGACCTCGGTTACCACCCAACTCTGATTGAACGCCAAGATCTGCTCTACATGAACTTTGAAAGGGCAAGCTAAATATCTTTCAGGGAAGCAAATAACCTTAGGGGATTGTCTGCTCTGGTACTAAAAATGGGGGGAAAAAAAGTCTGTTTTGTATCTCTTGAAAATGTCAGCTTGACTCAAAGGCAGTTCTATTTCATCCCGCGGTACAAATGCTTCCTCCCAGCTAGAGCTTTGGCTCACGTCTGTCCAGCATTTTCTGGACAGGGAAACACCAGCCCTGGGAGCTGTGGCGTGATGGGCAGCACCACACACCGTTCTATGAGGAAGTTACATAAATATCAGTCTTTCGTTCCAAACAAAATGTCAGGAGCTGCAGACACAGTTCAAGACTATATATAGCCTGAAGGCACAGGACATATGCAAACGGCACCTACTCAATGTCATCAGCCAGCCCAGTCACCCACCTCACGCTGGCATTCAACTTCAAAATATCCAGATCGAGGAAATTGTCACATGTAAGGGGGAAAAATCAGAGTTAGCAAGAGCTCGAAGAGAAGAGCAAGCCGGCAAACAGGACTGAGAGAAGGTGACCGGAGGTGAGGCAGGTCTCTGGCCTAACCCAGGTCCTAGCCCCAGCTGCCCTGCAGAACCTGCCAGGGGCGACCTCACATGCCTCGGAAGACTCACGGGCACCCCACATGCTATAGAATCCCCCCAACGCCCACAGTCGCTCAGTTCTGACTCACACCCGCCCTTCCATGCAAAAGACCCGAAGGAACAAGAATCCCAGGCCGAAGCTTCTAGTATTGGGGCTGGAATGATAGTACAGCAGTGAGGGCATTTGCCTTGCATGCAGCCAACGTGGGTTCGAATCCCAGCACCCCACATGGTCCCCTGAGCACCGCCAGGAGTAAATCCTGAGTGCAGAGCCAGGAGTAACCCCTGTACATCACCGGGTGAAAAAATTAACAATAAAAATATAACACCGTGGAGATGTGCAGACTGGGGGCGGGGTGCAGAGGGAGACCTCCCAAAGAGTGGCCCAGAGTGAGCATAACATCCCCAAAGATTCCGTAGGATGGGTCCGCCAGGTCTGGGGTGCAGCCTCACACTGGAGTCTAAGCCACCCTGGTCAGGATGTCCAAAGAGTCCTCAGAAAAGGACCAGAAACTCTGCATTGGAGCAGAGTAGAGAGGATGATTTAGGGGAAGGAAAGCATTAGGGGGCATCTTTCGAACTGCTCAAGGGCCCAGGTGACTGTTCAGAGCGGGAACTGTGTCTGCCTGCGGACAGCTAAGCCGGCTCCTGCCCAGCCCTGCCCAGCCCCGAGCACCCAAACAAAACATTCATTTTGAAAAACGGCGTATTACTACAGAGACACCTCTAACAACTCCCACCCGGTGAGGCTCAGGGGATACCCCTGGCTCTGCACTCAGGAATTATTCTGGTGGTGCTTCGGGGACCATATGGGATGCCGGGGATTGAACCTGGGTCAGCTGCGTACAAGGCAAATGCCCTCCGAATGTATATAGCTCCAGCCCTTGCAATTCCTCTTTAAAAGCCCCAAGGGTCATAACTGGTGGTGTGTGGGTCCCTCCTGTCCTGAACCCGGGGCTCCCCAGGTGATGCTGGGCCTCTAGCCCTCTAAGCTATCTCCACACCACCCAGAAATCCGTAAGTAAAGTGAAAAAAGTAAAGGCCCTCCCGTTGTTCGTCCATTTGCTCGAGCGGACCCAGTAACGTCTCCATTGGAGACTTTGTTGTTACTGAGTTTGGCATATCGAATACGTCACGGGGAGCTTGCCAGGCTCTGCCGGGCGGGCGAGATACGCTTGGTAGCTTGCCGGGCTCTTCGAGAGGGGTGGAGGAATCGAACTCGGGTCGGCCATGTTGGCTGCGTGCAACGCAAACGCCCTGCCACTGTAATATCGCTCCAGCCATAATTCCGTATTAAAAAAAAATTGTTTACATTAACCACAGGGGCCGATGGCACAGCGAGGCCCGGGTTCTTTCTCTTAAGGTGCTGCTGAGACCAACATGCTGAGGGGAAAGGGTGCCCGGAAATCTGGTGATGCACCTGCGTTCTAGAAAGGTCGTGTCTTGAGACCAGCAGCAGCAGTACCACAAATCAACGCACACACCCAAGAAAGCAGGGAAACGCGGTCACATCTCAAACACACCTGCACAAGCTTCCAATGGCAGAGGGCGCAGAGGGCGCAGACAGGCACCGGAAGCGTTGGGGAAGTGCACGGGTTCAGGCTGACTCCCTGGCTTGGCACTGGGGGTGACACTTGGCGGGGCTTGGGGGACCGTATGGGGTGCTTGGGAACGAACCCGGGTCTGCCAGGGGCAAGGCAAGTGCCCTACCCATCTTACTATCTCTCTGGCCCTGGTACACTGTTTTTAGAAGACATTATCAAGCCGATGTGTTTCCCCCTTGCATCTTCCCCTTCATTCCAGTATTTATTTTCCCTTTCCCTCCCTTTCTCGCTGAGGCTGAGGGTCGCACACTCTAGATGGTGGTTACCCACTTGGGGAGTGGGGGGTCTCACTCGGCCTGCCAGAACTCCAGCCATGCCCAATTTTCCCTATTTCCAGTGAAGAATATGCCATAGGAAAAACATCTGGTTGAAAACTCACATAAATCAATGCTTTTGGGTCTACAGATACTCTTAAGGGACTAAACATGGAGAAACCTCACCCCACAGAAGAAAGAGCCAGAGTTCTGGCCCGGGCACCCCTAAGAGCCAAGCTGACACTTCAAATGAGAAATTTTTCAGAAGTGCTCCCTGTCATAAAGATAGTAAACAAAACATATAAAATCATATTTTTAAACAAAAATCCACCTTTCAGAAAAAGACAACATTTAAAAAAGAAAATGTCCCGGGGACCCGACAGATAGTATAGTGCGAAGGTGCTTCCCAGGCATCAAAAAGTCAAATATGGACCCCTGGGGACCACCAAGAGTAATCCCTGAGCATCACCAGGTGAAGCCCCAAGCAAAAACCAAAGCAAAGCAAACAAATAAATATGTGCTGAAAATAACCAGTAGGAAACAGGCTGGGACGGGCGTGTGGGAGAAACAGAATTTCCCGCACACCCTGCACCCAGCCCTGAGGTCACACTGCAGAACCTCAAGAGTTTGAATGAAAAATGTAAGCAATTTTATTTCTAAAAATGAGAATGTAAGAAAAGAGTCTTCAGGTCTTGCCAAGACTCAATCAAGGGGAAAGGCGGGTCACGAAAACAAAATCACTCACAAACCTACGTTTCTTCTGCAGGCAGCTGGGCAGCGGCTGCCACTCCTCGAAGTGGGGACCCGGGAGGATGTGCAGAAATTCCTCGATTCTGCGCCAACCAGGCCAGGAGAGCAGCTGGGCCAGCCGCATGCTGAGGGAGGCATAGCCGAGATGTCCGTGGGGTTCTGCGGAGGATTCGAGAGCGACACCTGGAGTCAACCAACTCCTCTCTGCCAATGGGCCATGGGATCTCTTTTTGTTTGTTTGTTTCGGCGGAGGCCATACCCTGCGGTGCTCAGGGCTCCCTCCTGGTGCTGCACTCAGGGATCACAACCTGGGTTGGCTGCATTAAAGGCAAACGTCCTCCACGCTGCCATCCTGGATTTGACTTTGTGGAGGAACACAGTGTGCTCCAGCCTACCCCGCTCAGCCCTGCCATCTCCACCCTCTACCCAATTTCCCAATCTCTCTCTTCTCTCCTTCTCTCTCTCTCTCTCTCTCCCCCACCCCCGCCCTTACAGCTTTATGGATCAGACCTGGTGGTGCAGAGCTGACGCATGGCTCTGCCCTCACCTCTCCTGGCCCTGAGTCCTGTCTCAAACCAATCTCAGAAAGCTGCTTGGTGCCCCTGTGTGCTGGAAGGTGCCAGTGCCCGGCAGCACGTGCAGAGGGCAGGTGCGTGGCCAAACCCCAGCACCGCTGGGTCTGAACATTCAACTGTCTGCCGGGGAAAGATTCCATCCGACCCCCACAGAAGAAAAACTGTTCATCGATTTGGTGAGAAACTTCTCCTATAGAATCTTGGCCCACTGGGGGGAGGGAATGTGGAGAGCTCTAAGCCCAGCCAAGCTACTCTCAGGCATTCTTCCAGGGGGCGAGGCTCCAGGGCACAGCCAAGCCCAAATCTCCCAAGGGTGAGAGTGACAGCCCCCAGCATCACAGTCACCACCAGTCTGAAACCCCCCCTCTCTCACAGTGACTCTGAGTCCAGCAGCCCCAACTGCCCACAATGAGTCAGTTGTGTTGGTCCCCAATCCTCTTACTTGAGGCTGGCCTTTTCCCTGACCAGAGGCTTCCTTGAGTCCAGACCAGCCTCCCCCGCCCTGAGGCCTAAGTGGACAAGGGCCCCTGTTTCCCACCCCCCAGCCCCCATTTTCAAAGAGCATCCCCCAAAAAGCCCCTCTCAGTCCTGGCTTCTGCAAGGGCAGCACCTTCCCACCAGCAGGATGCCACACCACTGGGGAACTGTGTGTGTGTATGTCTATGTATGGGTCTGTGTGTGTATGTTGGTCCGCATGCATGTGCGTGAAGGCTCAGCTCGCCTATTAGATGGCGTGCATGTGCATGCGTGTGCATGAAGACTCGGCTCACCTGCTCATTCACATCGTCCATCCAGAGGCGCAGGGTCTTCCGGATGGTGGGGTAGCTGTTCCTGCCCCACTGCTGGGGCCGCAGCAGCCCGGCCTTCTCCAGGTTCTGTAACGTCAGGATGTGCTCGTAGCCGTATGTCTGCCAGAGAAGATGGGGAGCCTGCTAGATCTCCCACTTCCGAAGAGGGAGCGAACATTTTCATTCTCATTTTGATACTATTGATTTTGAGTCATAGCCGGCAGCATGCAAGACAAGTGCCTTACCCCTTTCTAGCTCTTGGTTTGTTTGGTTTTTTTTTGTTTGTTTGTTTTGCTTTTCAGGTCACACCCGGCGATCCTCAGGGGATACGCCTGGCTTTGCACTCAGGAATCACTCCTGGCGGTGCTCAGGAAAACGTATGGGATGCTGGGAATCGAACCAGGGTCGGCTGCGTGCAAGGCAAACGCCCTACCCGCTGTGCTATTGCTCCAGCCCCTTTCTAGCTCTTTGGACCCCACATTTTCACTTTAAAGTCAGAATGCATGGGCCCAACGTAAGGAAGATAGATGACAGTGTACTGAAATAACTGAGTAAGAAAAGGAGGCCAACCACACCTCCTGACGTGCTATTGTCCAGATGTCTCCTTTGTTTTGTTTGCTTTTGCCCGCCCCCCCCCCACTTCCTGTGCTCAGGGATCAGTGCTGGTGGGGCTCAGGGAACCCATATGGGTGCCGGGGATCGAGCCCGGTGGGCACATGCAAGGCCAACTGCCTTTTTAATAAATTTCTTCCTTGGCAAATGAGTCACTTAGAAACACTGACCTGGAGAATTTCTCTTTTGTAATAATCCAGAACCTTCTGCTTGACCCCACTGTTGCACACCGACTGCAGGCAAATGAGCCTGAGCACCTTGATGTGTGGATGCTTCTGGGCGATGCAGTCCTCCATGTAACTGTTGACCTAGAGTCGTGGCAGATTCATGTGTGAGAGCCGGGTCTGGGCCTGCAGTCCTGGGCGTTCCCCGGCCCCTGAGAGGCCCAATCAAGGAGAGGCTGGAGATTGGCTCACGCTCCTGCCCACACTCCCTGGACAACCTAAGCTCCAGGGGCTACGGGCGGGTGCAACTGTCCCACTTGTCAGCGACACCTGAGCAGCATCAGTAAAGTAGCAGGGACTGTGGGGAATTTGGGCGCTTGCTTGCTGCAAGTGAGAATGCGGGATTTATTGACAGGCAGACAGGAAAAGGGATCATATAACCCATGCTCTTAAATAATCCCTGATGGGCTTCAATAGTCTTGGGCTTCAGGGCTGGGTCTTGTTTCTCTGAGGACAGCAAACAGCAATGGAACACATGCGCGCGCGCACACACACACACACACACACACACACACACACACACCACGCCCGGTCAACAGAAACCTATCCCTTGGCAGAATCTCTTTCCGCACATTTTGCACTGCTCTGACAGGTATTTATTTAGGCCAGACACAGGAATCAAAGCGATTCCTTTCCTACCTCGAGTTCTGTTTGCCAATCTCGTTAACTATCGGCTAAAACAGTTTTAGTGTTCACGTACCTGATCAGTGTCTATTCCAGACATAAACTCCTGCTCCACGGTTAACTTATCAAAGAAGTCTTCAGACGCTGAAACATAATTAACACACGAGCAACTCAGAAGTGGGAGAAATGCTCATTTCTCCCAGAGGCATGCAAAGTAGCAAGCAAGCACCAAGTTTAATTCATCACCAGGAAGGCACAGTCCAGAACAGAGAGGCTGACAGCCTGTGCCCCGAGGTGTGCCTAGACACAGAGCCCCAGGGCCTGGGCCCTAGCAGCTTCCCCTTCACACTAATTAAAGCAATTTCCCAAGGGCATTTTACTTTGGTTACTTTGGGGGCCACTCCCGGTGGTGCTCAGGGATCACTCCTGGCAGGCTTCGGAGACCATATGGGACTCCGGGATCCAACCTGGGCCGGCTGTGTGCCAGGCACTGCAGTACCGCTCCAACTCCAGCTCCTCGCCACATCAGACTGAAACCAACCTCAGCAAGTATTGCCAGGTCTGGCGAAGCAGTGCTGGCGCCACCCAGAGCCTGGGAGAGTCCTGCTGCACCACCTGACCCCGCAGAACCCAACAGTCACACTCGGAACATTTCTGTGAGGACACAGCGGCTGGCACAGGGAACAATGCACAAGTGAAAAAGTAGCCGGGGGCCCCCCCAGAAGTAGCAGGGAGCCAGTGACACACCCTGAGCCTGAGCCCGGGACAGGGCACTCACTCGTTACGTCCCTGATGAGCTCGGCGATGGAGGTGTGGTTGGCCAGGGAGCCCCGTGTCACCTGCATGTGGGGTAGCTGGGAGACAATCTGCTTGATCTTGCCCACCGTCTTGACATTGTGCCTTTCCTGAGGGAGGGGAGAAGGTCACGACAGTACTGGGTACAGCACTCAGGGCCTCGCACACCTGTGTGTGTGCGTGTGCGCACACGCACACACACACATACACGCACACACACACACACATACACGCACACACACACACACACACACACACGGGGCATGCCCCAGACACAGCCAAAGCAGTGCTGGGAATGCACCCAGGCCACCCACCCTCCCACGCCCCCCACACACACACAATGTGCCCCAGCTCCAGCCCTGGTTGCCAAGAGTGCATTTTTAAGAATTTGGGTCTTTGGGTTGCCCAGGGCATGTTTGAATCACGTGCAAGGCAGTGCCCTGGCTTTCCTCCTGGCCTGGCACTCAGGGATCACTCCTGGCATGCACCGGGACCACATGGAAGGCTGGGGAGTGAGTCCAGGTCAGCTGCATGCAAGGTAAGCGCCTTACCTGCTGTGCTATCACTCCGGCTCCCCCAACTTAATTTTTAGTGTGAGAAATGGACACAAAACGAATTAGGCTATAACCAGATCCCACAGCCACAGGAAAATAGAAAAGGCAGGTTGGTGGGTCCAGGTACTGCGACAGCCACATCCTGCAGCACTGGGAGACCATGTGGACGGGAGGGAGCCCAGGGCCCACGCAGACCACACCTGACACTGCATGGTCCCTGCCAGGGATGTGGAGCTCAGCAAACTGTGCCTTGAAGCCACAAAAGCTAACGCTCGTATAGCCTGAGACCTCAACAATAGCAAATCAAGTGTAAAACGTTTCCTGGGTCCAAGCTATACAGTGTGGGAGGCGCTTGCTCAGTGCCCGGCCTCCCCACAGAACCCCGAGGCCTGCCAGGAGCCAGCCGTGAGCACTGGCAGCGGGAAGGGAGGGAACTGGACACCATGGCGAGCTCGGACCTGGAACAGTGAATGCCTGACACTTCTTATCCATAGCTTTATAAGTCACGGTGAGGAAATAAAAAATTGAGGAACAAAACCCAAGTGAGACAAAAGCAACTTCAGAAATACAACAACCATGGGGTCAGAGTGACAGAACAGTGGCGAGGTGCTTGCCTTGCATGCGGCCAGCCTGGGTTCGATCCCCAGCATCCCATGTGGTTGCCTCAGCCCACCAGAAGTGATCCCTGAGCGCAGAGCCAGGAGTTAGCCCTGAGCACCTCTGGGTGTGCCTCCCCTCAAAAAACAAACAAAAAAAAACCAAAAGAAATACAAATACTGATATAGTGGAGATAACTCCTAAAAACGATGAAATCAGGAAATCACCCTTCAAGGGAAAAAGTGATTTTTAAAAACTTCCCCCAGAGTTAAAAAATTCAGCTTCTATCATTTTACTGATTCAGGTTTCAAAAGTGAGCTGAACCCAAAATAAATGAGCAGCAGGAGGGCGCGAGGTGCTAACGAAGCTGGGGGCCGGGGACTGTGCTCTCATTATCACACGCCTTCCCAGCCTGCTCCGGCTGAACAAGGATTCCCTAGATGCAGGAGCTAGTGGAGATGCCGCCACCGCCAGCAGCTGGGAGGAAGGTGGGAGGGACAGGGAGTGCAGATGATGACTGGCAAAGGACCTGACACCAGGAGAGGGCCTGGCACCACCTTTCCCCGGGCGCCCACAGCCCGCCTGCCGCCTGGCACCAGGCCCCAGTCACCTCAAAGGCGGCCAAGATCACCTTGGCCTTCTTGCTGAGCACGGCGCCCACGGCGTTGAAGTTGCGGTCTTGGATCTCAGCGTAGAGCTCCTCGGCTGAGTTCAGCGGCACCTTCTTGGACTCCGTGGGCAGGTGCTGCCCGTCACCCTGCCTCTTCAGGGCGAATTTCTCGGGTGGCAGCTTTACATGACCTGCACGGGAGGGGACACCCAAGTGAGACTCCAGAGACTTCCTGTCAGGGGAGAGCACTGGGCTTTGAGTCACTAGATGCGCACGAGCGTAGGACGCTCACGCTTTTCACGCACGGCTTCCCTGCCCTGGCCCGCGGGACGCCTCCTGCCACTGCCAGCCCGAACTGAACTCAGGATGGGGCCACCTGAGGAAACATGCCCCAGGGCGGCCTAACTGCAGGTCTGTCCTGCTGGCGTGTGCAAGTGCATGCCGTCTATACCGCCATTTCAACAAGCCAAGAGGAGCCCAGGATGGGGCTGGAGTGATAGCACAGCAGGGAAGGTGATTGCCTTGCACGGGCCAGACCCAGGTTCGAGTCCCAGCATCCCATATGGCCCCCTGAGCACCGCCAGGAGTAACTCCTGAGTGCAGCACCAGGAGTAACACCTGTGCATTGCCAAGTGTGACCCCTGTCACTGTCCTCCCATTGTTCATCTATTTTGCTCAAGCGGGCCCAGTAACGTCTCCATTTTGAGTCTTGTTACTGTGTTTGCCATATAGAACACGTCACGGGTAGCTTGCCAGACTTTGCCATGCAGGCAAGATACTCTACGAAAAAGAAAAAGAAAAGTCAAAAGAAAAACAAAAACAAAAACAAGATCCCAGGAATCATTTCAGCATGGAAGTTTGCTTGAGGCCGGAGACAGCTCCGACGGCTTCTTTCCTTTCTGTTTCCTTTCTCTGATTTTGGGGCCAAACCTGTCAGTGCTCAAGGCTTATTCCTGGCTCTGTGCTCTGGGCTAATTCTTGGCAGTGACTGGGGGAACCATATGCGGTCCTGGGGACCAAACTCACCCTAACTGCTACACTGCCTCTAGCTCCAGTTCCTTTCAAAAAATTTTGGTTCCTTTCAAAAAATCATCTCCTCTACTTTCAACACAAATCCCGACGTGTCTACACACAATCAGCTCCACTGCTGTGGGTCCAGAGAGACGGGTCATCGGGGGCAGCGCACGCTCAAGTCCAGCTGTCTGTTCCTCTGAGCACTGCCCCGTGTGGGCCCTGAGCACTGTGGGGTGGGTGCTGAGAATCATAAAGCAACAACAAGAACTCCTGCATCGGAGAATGTGGGGAGAGAAAGTGACCGACGGAAGAAAAATACTTCTCGGATGCTTTCCAAATCCTAAGCCCCTCGGAACAGCCCGGGCACCAGCGTCTGGAGACAGCACGCCACGGTGGCCGCGGGATCCGGGGCCTGAGCACATGCTGAGATACACGAGGTCGGCCAGACCTCGCATTCCAGCTCAAAGCAGAGGGGCAGCCGCTGGCCCAGGCAGCCTGCACGCAGCTCCTGCACGGGCCTGCCATCGCCCTCGGTCCAGCCACGGGCGCAGCGCTGGGGGGTTATGGGGAAGCCCAATTTCTCCTTGTTTTTCAGATTTCTCTTAATTTTTTCTTTTTTTGGGGGGTCACACCCAGCAATGCACAGGAGTCACTAGTGGCTCTGCACTCAGGAATTACTCCTGGTGGTGCTCAGGGGACACTATGGGATGCTGGGAATCGAACCCGGGCTGAGCCGCGTGCAAGGAAAATGCCCTACCCGCTGTACTATCACTCCAGCCCTCTCCCTTAATTAAATGTTTCATCAGAAGTAAGTGTGTGATGTGAAGAGACTGTGAGCTCCCAAAACGCCTTCCCCCCGGAGGCACCCCACAAGTCCCATCTCTCACACCTCCGCACCAGCCACCCCAGCACCTCTGCCAGATCCCTCGAGGGACTTGCAGAAGCACCAGGAGGTGGGGACCCCTCGCACGGGGTGCTCCCGTGCCAGTGAAAGCTCGGAGCCTGAGTCTGGGGAGGGACTGTGTGTGTGGCATCACCCCCAGCCGCTGCCAGGCACAAGCCCGGTGGCCCCAGGGCCACGGACTGGCCCCACAGAGCAGAAAATCACCGAGATCAGCCCCACAGTCCCTTGGGCACTGCTTACGACTGTCCCCACAAAAGGAAGCAACTTAAGAAGTTATCCTTTGGAACAACTGGTAAAAAACAAACCGGAAACACCCCCATAATCATGAAAGAGCAGGAAAACGCTTTGTTGTGTGGAAATGCCTCCATGTGTGGTCCTGTTCTGCTTCCGTGGCCGCTGTCACTGAGCCACGCATTCACCACTGCAGTGACATACAGACTAACACACACGAACACACACACACACACACACACACACACACACACGCCATCACAATCCACTCTGCGATAACCAGCTTGGCACACTGGACAGACAGCACTGTCTGGACTCGGCCAGCACTTAGCAGCTGCAGGGCTCTGTGTCCCCAGAGAGACCCCATGCAGTTAGCTGCATCCCCGTCCTTCCAGACCGGGGCTCTATCCCCAGGGCTGTTTCCCCAGCCCCCGGCCAGGGCCACTCCTGAAGTCGCCGGAGTTACCCCTCTTGCGGCCTAGGGCTCCCTGTTCTGAAGAAAAGACACAATCAGACTGTGGGAAACTTCTCAGACTGTATCCCAGCAGGAGATACTCCCGGCTCAGTGCTCACTGGACGAGGCAGGAGCGCGGATGGAACCGAGCGCTGACTGTGCGTCTGGCACTAGCCCCGTGAGCTTTCCTAGCCCCCACTCAGATCTGAAATGCTACAGAATATAACACCCGGGGCCAAAGCCCCCTGACCTCAGACCCAGGCACCCCTCAGAAACGCTCTATTCCTCACGCCTCCCTGGGCGGCCTGAGCAGCGGGGCTGCACACCGCATGGCCCTCTGCACAAGGCCTTCGCCTCAGTTTCCCCGATGGTGTCCTGGCTCGAGCTCGCTTTAACCTTGGGCTGAAAGTCAGTGCCTGACATTTTCAAGTATTCTGACTTATACACAAATGCCACACCTTTAAAAACAGACACTTTTGAGATTGATTTTACTCAGCTAACCTATTAGTAAATGATGTCGCTTCACTTACTGTTCTGTAGCCATAAATTTCATCGACGAGTCCTTCGTATGTCAGCTGAGTCGCAAGGGGCGTTAATGAATCCACATTTCAATCAAGCAACAAGAGGTTATCAAAAACAGGAAATATTGAATTCTGACTTTCTGTAAACTCTCTCCTCATTCTCATCATCATATTGGCCACTTGCTGGGAACAAAATACAGAGTCAGGGAGAGCCTTTTTAGCAATGGGCGGATTTTAAAATGAAGCTAAAAAGACCCCGGCAATCCAAAATTTAAAAATAAAGCGGAAAAAATGGAACAATAAAATAAAACAAGATAGGCCCGAGACAGTATGGTGGGTAGGATGCTTGCCTTGCAGGTGGCTGACACAGGTTCAATTCCTGGCACCACGTACGATCCCTCAAACCCTGCCAGGAGTGAGCCCCGAGCACTGCAGGGTATGGAGAGGGCGGGAGGAGGGAGAGGGCGAGAGAGGGAGGGAGAGTAGGGATGGAAAAGAAAAGATAAAGAACAGAAAAGAGAAAAGGAAAGAGGGCTGGGAGACAGCAGAGGGGCCAGGGGTCACGCCTTGCATGCAGACAGACTCATTTTGGTGGCCCGAGCACAGAGCCAAGAGCACTGCGAGGTGGAGCCCCAAACCCCACCCGCAGGAGAGAGGCCTCTCTCCCCGCCCCGGCTCACCCTGGCGCACTCGCCCTTGCCGAAGATCTAGGGGATGGTCCCGTACAGGTCAGCAGCTTCATCAGGCCCTTGGTCGCGTGGTACAGGCCCGTCTGGTCGCTGTCCAGGCAGCACTCCTGTGGGAGAGGGCCAGGCACGTGGGCACAGGCTCTGTGAGTCAGCACCGAGGCCTCAAGGCAGCATCTCTACTGGGGGCAAGCATTGCTGGGCGGGCGAGGAAAGGCTGGCCTCCGCCTGCCCGGGTGACCACACAGCAGAACACTCTGGGCTTGTTGAAGGGCAGGCAGCCTCTCCCACATACAGCAGCGAGTGTCACAGGGGACAGCAGGAGGGCAGACACGGTCTCGGAGAAGGGCCACAAGGTCCATTTAACACACAGACAGAAAGAAACTTCTTTGGCCCAGAAAGAGCAAAAGCACGCAGGCACGCACCCCCCAGCCGGGTGGTTCAGCAGGGCTGACAGAGCACACATGGTCCCCAGCGGGGACTCAAGATCTCTCCTGTGCCTCAATCCCTTCATCCAGCAAGTGCGGAGAGCAGAGGAGGGAAATCACGCAATGCGTTTCACCTGCACTTCACCTGATGGGGCGGCACTGCTGGTGCCCATCGCGGGACTCACTTTTTATCTTTTTTCTTTTTGGGTCACACCCGGCAATGCACTGGGGTTACTCCTGGCTCATGCACTCAGGAAGTACTCCTAGTGGTGCTCGGGGGACCATATGGGATGCTGGGAATCGAACCCGTGTCGGCCGCATGCAAGGCAAACGCCCTACCTGCTGTGCTATTGCTCCAGCCCCTCATCGTGGAATCTTTGACCCTGTCTAAGGCAGCAGCCAACAGGCGTGCACCGCAGAGGCGTGAGGACAAGGGGTGCAGACTGAGGGCGGGGTAGAGAGGGAGACCTCCAAGAGAGCCTGGCCCAGATTGAGCATAACATCCCCAAAGATCATGTAGGATGTCTCTGCCAAGTCTGGGGTGCAGCCTCACACTTCATTCCAAAACATCCTGGTCGGGATGTCCAAAGAGTCCTCAGAAAAGGACCAGAAACTCCGCATTGGAGCAGAGCAGAGAGGAAGATTCAGTGGAAGGAAAGCACTAGGGGGCCTCTTTCAAACTGCTCAGGGGTACAGGTGACTGTTCAGAGCGGGAACTGTGTCTGCCTGCGGACAGCTAAGCCGGCTCCTGCCTGGTCCTGCCCAGCCCCGAGCACCCAAACAAAACATTCATTTTGAAAAACGGCGTATTGCTACAGAGACACCTCTAACAACTCCCACCCGGTGAGGCTCAGGGGATACCCCTGGCTCTGCACTCAGGAATTATTCTGGTGGTGCTTCGGGGACCATTTGGGATGCCGGGGATTGATCCTGGGTCAGCTGCGTGCAAGGCAAATGCCCTCCGAATGTATATAGCTCCAGCCCTTGCAATTCCTCTTTAACAGCCACTAGGGTCATAACTGGTTGTGTGTGGGTCCCTCCTGTCCTGAACTCGGGGCTCCCCAGGTGATGCGGGCTCGGGGGCCGTCATGGCTCAGGACGGACGAGAAGGCGTGAATGCAGCATCCACGGGCGGATGTGGGGCCCGTGGCAAGGACCAGTCTTGGGTCTGTCTGTTGGGATGGCCTTGCCCCGCCCACGCAGGGCCAGGAGCAACCCTGGGTGTGAACGAGACAGCTCCTATCCTCAGCTGGGGTGACCAAGACGCTTCCTCAACGCTTCCGCACTGCTGACTGGGAAAAGGAGCAGAGGGGCCGCTCCCAGACCTGCAATGGCTCGGATGGAAGGCAACCCCTAGTCCTGTCACCACACAGGGCCGGGCAGGCCCCTGTCCTGTCACCACACAGGGGCATGCAGGCCTGTGTCCTGTCACCAAACAAGGCCATGCAAGCCCCTCCCTGCTTCATGACTGGGGTGGGGAGAGACCATTGGGGAGGGGAGCCCATGAAAGTTCTGGATTCCACAGGATGAAGCCCAGAGACGTGAGCAAACCCACAGGGAGCTGGGTGACAGCAGCCCAGAACCAAAGCGAGCCCCAGGTTCTTTCTCTTAAGGTGCTGCTGAGACCAACATGCCGAGGGGAAATGGTGCCCAGAAATCTGGTGATGCACCTGCGTTCTCGAAAGGTCGTGTCTTGAGACCAGCAGCAGCAGTACCACAAATCAACTCACACGCCCAAGGAATGCAGGGAAACGTGGTCGCGTCTCAAACACACCTGCACAAGCTTCCAATGATAGAGGGCGCAGAGGGCGCAGACAGGCACTGGGAGCTTTGGGGCCGTGCACGGGTTCCGGCTGACTCCCTGGCTTGGCACTGGGGGTCACACCTGGCGGGGCTTGGGGAACCGTATGGGGTGCCAGGTAACAAACCCGGGTCTGCAAGGGACAAGGCAAGTGCCCTACCCACATTACTATCTCTCTGGTCCAGTACGCCGTTTTTAGAAGACATTATCAAGTTGATGTGTTTCCCCCTTGCATCTTCCCCTTCATTCCGGTATTTATTTTCCCTTTCCCTCCCTTTCTTGCTGAGGCTGAGGGTCGCACACTCTAGGTGGTGGTTACACACTTGGGGGGGGTCCCCACTCGGCCTGCCAGAACTCCAGCCATGCCCAATTTTCCCTATTTCCAGTGAAGAATGTGCCATAGGAAAAACATCTGGGTGAAAACTCAAATAAATCAATGCTTTTGGGTCTACAGATTATCTTAAGGGACTCAGCATGGAGAAACCTCACCCCACAGAAGAAAGAGCCAGAGTTCTGGCCCGGGCACCCCTAAGAGCCAACCTGACACTTTGAAAGAGAAATTTTTCAGAAGTGCTCCCTGTCATAAAGATAGTAAACAAAACATATAAAATCATATTTGCAAACAAAACACAACCTTTCAGAAAAAGACAATATTTAAAAAAGAAAATCTCTGGGAGCCAGATAGATAGTATAGTGGGAAGGTGCTTCCCTGGCATCAAAGAGTCAAATATGGACCCCTGAGGACCCCCAAGAGTAACCCCTGAGCATCATCAGGTGAGGCCCCAAGCAAAAACCAAAGCAAAGCAAACAAATAAATCACTTATCACTTAATCACTTTATCCCCGTTATTCATCGATTTATTCGAGCGGGTGCCAGTAATGTCTCCATTCATCCCGGTTGCGTGCTAGCGTAGCCCAATGGTATCTGTTCGTTCTAGCAACATGCAGAGCCTTAAACCGATCATTTAGGGTCTTGACGAAGAAGTCTGACCATCTTATAGGTGGGCGTCCACGTGATCTTTTGATGTCTCGTGGAATCCAATCAGTAATGGCTCTAGTCCAGCGATTGTCTGTAAACCTCATTACGTGTCCAGCCCATCTGATTTTTGATGTCTTGGCAAATGAGACAGCGTCCCTGATTCTTGAGCGTTGATGAAGATCAGAACTCCGGATTCTATCTCTCATTTGAGTGAATCGTGATATTCCAAGCATAGTTCTTTCGATTCCTCTTTGAGAGACCCGAATAGCGTTCTCATCCTGTTTTCGTAGGGTCCAGGTCTCTGAGGCATATGTTAATGCAGGAAGAATAGTGGAATCAAAGAGATGTGTTCGTAGCTGGAGGTTCTTTGTCCTTTTAGTTATTTCTTCAATGCTCTTGAAGGCATTCCAAGCCGCTCTCTTCCTCCTGCGCAACTCAGGTGCCAGGTCATTCATCATGTTGATTTCTCGACCTAGGTATATATAACCGTTGCATTCGGAGATGGTGGTTCCGTTGAGAGCGAATGGAGCGCCAGGAACAAGGCTGTTTCTCATAAACATTGTCTTCGTAAGATTCAGCTGTAGTCCGACCTTTCCACATTCACGGTCAAATTCGTTCAGCATTTGTGCCGCTTGGCTGATGTTTGGTGTTATTAGAACGATGTCATCAGCAAAGCGGAGGTGGTGTAGTTGCCGACCATCTATCTTCACTCCCATGTTTTCCCATTCCATCGTCGCATGATGTTCTCGAGGGTGGCACTGAAGAGTTTTGGTGAAATGGTATCACCCTGCCGAACCCCTCTCTTGATATGGATGATTACTTCTTTGTAGAATGGTGAGATTTTGGTAGTGAATCCGCAATAGAGCTCACGAAGGATCCTGATGTATTGAGTTTGTACGCCCTGATTGGCTAGGGCTTCCATGACCGCTTCCGTCTCAACAGAATCAAAGGCCTTCTTTAAATCAATGAACGTTAGACAGAGCGGCATCTTGAACTCCCGAGATACCTCAATGAGCTTGGTTATTGTGTGGATATGGTCGATGGTACTGAATCCTTTTCGGAATCCAGCTTGTTCACATGGTTGTCCTTCATCTAGCGTTCTGCTAATCCTATCCAGGATGACTCGAGTGAATAGTTTGTAGATGACAGACAATAGGCAGATTGGGCGATAGTTGCCAATGTCGTGGGTGTCTCCATTCGTTTCCATTGGGATGGAACCTTGCATTCAGACAGGTAGCGTGTGAAATGTCGAGCCAATGTATTGATGAGTACTGATGGTAAGTTCTTCAGTTGTTCAGGTCTGATCTTGTCTGGGCCAGGTGCTCTTTGTTTCTTTACCGACGAGATGGCATGTTGGATTTCGGAAGGGAGAATATTGGGAACGACATATCCATCATGTGGTATGTGGTATGTGGGCAAGTGGATGTGGCTATTAAAGAGATCTGAGTAGAAGTCATGAATAATCTTCTCCATTGCCCTTCTGGAAGATGTGATAGATCCATCATGATGTCGGAGGGCAGTCATCTTGGTTTTGTAGTTCGTGAAGGACAGGCGGGCATTACGAATGTTTTTCCCAGCTTCTGCTGCATCTACCAGTACTGCAGCTCTCCTGTTTTTGAGGTCATCCTTGATGGCTTCTCTGCACTGTTTTGCCAGTTCGGATGTTCGCTTGTGGTTGCCTGAGGCATGTGCCAAGCCACGTTGGCGAATAAGTTCAAGAGTGTTCGAAGAAAGACGGTTTTTTGTGGTTATCTATCTCTTGGCATTCCTTGCACAATCATGGAGGTGCTGAATCATTCGATGGTATTCCTCATCAATGTTGTCAATGATGGCATCTTCCCATGTTGCCGCAATAGAGCCAAAGAGCTCCCAGTTGGTGGTTGTTCTGGGAGTCCTCTTCTTAAACCTTGCATTCTTTTCTCCTCATTCTGTGAGGTAGAATTTTGCACGAAGAAGACGTTGGTCTGATCCCGTTTGGAATTTTGGGACAACAGCAACATCGATTAGGCAAAACCGCCGATTGAATATGATGTGTTCTATTTCATTGTGGAACCGTCCATCGGGAGACTCCCATGTCCAACGTTTAGATTCAGCTTTTTGGAATTGTGAGTTACCATGGAAGGTTTTGGTTGACATGATGAACTCAGACAGTCTGTCACCCTGTTCGTTCCATTCCAGGCCATGGGTTCCGATGTGCAGTTCATCGACTGATCTTCTTGGTCCTATCTTGGCATTAAAATCACCGACAATGATCTTGTAGAAGGTGTGATCTTCTTTATAGAACTTCTCCAGCTCCATGTAGAATTTCTCAGTTTCTCTTTCACCATGTTACTGTGTCTGGCATATCGAATACTCTCGGTAGCTTGCCGGACTCTCCGAGAGGGGCGGAGGAATCGAACTCGGGTCGGCCATGTTGGCCGCTTGTAAGGCGAACGCCCTACCCGCTGTGCTATCGCTCCAGCCCCAACGGGAGGGATCAACGGGAGGGCCTTTACCTTTACCTTACCTCTTTCACCATAACTGGATGTTGGTGCATAGACAACAAAGATAGAAACTTCCGGTAGTGAGCCACATTTTTTCAAGTGTAATCGTCCGATTCGGGTTGTTAGGCATTCGAATGAATCAATGCTCATGACTAAGTTTGTATTGACAAGGATACCAACACCACCGACGCCTCTTTTATCACATGTTCCAAGGAACAGTTCTTCTCCAGTGTCGAAAACAGCATGATGGGATTGATGTCTTCTCGTTTCGGTCAGACCAATGATGTCGTACTTGATCTTTCACGCTTGTACCATAAGGTCTTCAATGGATGCAGTAGATGCCAGCGTACGAGCATTAAAAGTACAGACAATCATTTTTGTTTTTCTGCGTTTTGGCAGCCTATGTCTGCCTTGGTGTTTTATCAGCCTCTCCTTCCATATCCTTCTCGACTCTGCATATTCAGGGTTAGGGAAATGAGATCCATTTATTACTGGATTTGGCATATCAATTTGGTCTATTAGGCATAGACCACGGATAGCTTGCCAGGCTCTGCCATGTGGGTTGGATATTTAAGGTACCCTGAAAACTTAGAGAAAAGTAAATAATGTTCGCGGCCGCGCGCTCCCGGGAGCTTGTTGTGATAATCTCTGGATCCTGGCCGTTGTTGGGGTTACACGGCAGTTGGAGGGTGTAACTGTCTAGCTACTGACAGGTCCAGTCCCAAACCGTGCAGGCTTGGAGATCTCAAATAAATCACAAATAAATATGTGCTGAAAATAACCAGTAGGAAACGGGCTGGGACGGGCGTGTGGGAGAAATAGAATTTCGCGCACACCCTGCACCCAGCCCTGAGGTCACACTGCAGAACCTCAAGAGTTTGAATGAAAAATGTAAGCAATTTTATTTCTAGAAAATGAAAATGTAAGATAAAAGTCTTCAGGTCTTGCCAAGACTCAATCAAGGGGAAAGGCGAGTCATGGAAACAAAATCACTCACAAAGGGCTAACTGGAAAAACGCAGTGACAGACTTGACTCTTTCTGGCTGGAGCGGCCCTGCCTTCCACTCTCAAAGCTTCCTCCACAGCCACAGTCAAGTCAGGGTGGGACTGGCACAGGGACAAACATCGAACAGCAGCAGAGAAACACCAGAAATCAACACATTTAAGGACAATTGATTTTTGAGAATTCAGTAAGGGCAACAACAATTTTAAGCCAATTTGTTGGAACAGGAGGTTCTGCATAAGCAAGAGGAGCAGCGGCCGGAGAGACAACACAGGGGAAGGCGCTGGTCTTGCACGCAGCCAATCTGGGTTCTAGCCCCAGCACCACATATGGTCCCCGAGCATGCACAGGAGTGATCCTTGAGCACAGAACCAGGAGTAAACCTTGAGTACTGCTGGGTGTGGACCAACTCCCATCTCTCCCCAAAAGGAAGAAACTGGACACTTCCAGGAATCACTAAAATGCCAGTGTGAGTGTCACCATCACAAACGAGGCAGAAACGAGTGTCAAGTTCAAAGGGCAAACACTGAACTTACTCTGAAGGCGCCCTCCGACTCCATAGAGAGAAGGTCCCCGTCGAAGGGAATGAGGTCCAGGCTGTACTCCTCCCTACGGATGAAGGAGCCCAGGACGCCCAGGTCCTTAAGCCGCTGCTCACACAGCAGGCTACGCCGGGGCACAAACAAAATGTGGAAATCTCTTGTGGGGCCACGTCTGTCTTCACTGCAAGAGAAGGACTGTGCGTTGTCCCGAGGCCCCGACGCAAGGACTGTTCCCCAGGGCCCCACCTGTGCCTGACACACAGTGGGCTCTAAAGAGACGTTTATCAGCTAACCCCCCACTACTGACTCGGCCCAAGTTTCGAGTTTTCCTGCTCTCTTGATGTGATGCTTTTTCTGCAAACCGCTGACCTGTGCTCTGCCAAGGGGCAGTGCTGCTTCTCTTGGGCCATTGATGGGACATGAAAACTCTCAGGGTTGGGGCTGGAGCACCTAATCCCAGGAAGAAGTGCTATTTCTTGAATAAATTATTACCAAGCAATGACAACAATTAAAACACACACAAAAGGACGTGTGGGGGGTAGCACAGGGTGGGGACGGACGTTCAGTCAAGACTGGGCAATGCCACAGCCTGGAAAGGACATGAGAGGGGACAGAAGTGTGGCTCGTGGGATGCATATTGGGAGAAAGACAGAGGTGCGTGTGAAGTGGGGGATCTCATTAAAGTCTGGGGTCCAGGACAGCTGTGGATGTTCGTGTCCTACTCAGTGTTTCGAATCTGTGTGCCTTGGGGATGGAGGGAATGCGCACCCCTGGGAGAAGCTGGGAGGGCCACTGGGTATTCCCTCCAACCCACCTTGCAGCACTGGGTCATGCATGTTTAGATCACATGCTCTGGGCCATAGCACCAGTGATGCGGGCAGGTGACACATTGAATGAGGCATAACTTACAGCAACAAGCCGAGTCTCTCTGGTCCCCGAGTGAGTGGGTGAACAAAGAGCATGTTCCGAGTGTCAGATGCCTCCCAAAACTGACAGGAGGAATCGGAGACTGAGGCCCACGTTAGAAATGGCAGAATGTATGTCTGGTTAGTGAGACCCAAGATATCCGCAAACACATTACAGAATTCTCATGGGTTTACGGCAAAAGGGAATTCTCACAGAGATGAAAAGAGAAGTGTGTATTTCTCTCAGTGCCTGGCTCACACTTACACTCCAGATCATTAAATAGAAAGCAAAGAATCTGAGACTAACAGAGATCTCCTGAATTCAACACCCAAGGGCTGGAAATACACCGGAAAGGGTGGACTTCTGTGCAGTTAAGCTATTACATGAGCAACACCTCGCTAGGGAATAGGATCTTGTTTAGGTGGAAATAAGAGCGTTTTAGTGGAAAGGAAATCTCTGATGCGACCCTGTGGGTCAGGAATCTTGACTTTCCTATGGCATGTGTTTGGGGCTGGGCTGGGGTCTACGCTTCACAGACAGGAGAGCTGGGTTGGTCCCCAGCACTGCATGGTCTCTGGAGGCAGGAATGACTGAAGAGCACTGTGTCCCCAAAGCAAAACAAAACAAACTTACTTGGCAACTGATCCCACCATAAGATTATTTTAAGAGTTCCTTGCTCTAAATCTAACACATACTTAGAAAGTCTGATTTTAAATGTTTATTCAAAGTGAAGGGGTTTAAGGAGTATGAGCAGAGTCTCCTGCCCCCGCGCCTGGCTGTCCTCGCCAGGACCCTTTGGAGGGGAGCAGGTTGAGTTTCCCTCCCCACCCCGACCAGGGCTCCGGCAGCCGAAGACCTCCACAACCAGCCATCACCATGCTGAGACCACTCTCCACAGGCATGAAGGTACTGGCAGAGGAACAAAGGCATGCGTGTCCTGGGGCTGAGATCTCCAAGCCTGCTCAGATTGGGGCTGAGCATCCTCCACTCAGATCCTCCATATTCCAGTAGGCAGGGGTTACACCCACCAACTTCCCCGCTTGTGCCCTGTAATCCCATCAACGGCCAAGACCCAGAGACTATAAAACCCAGCTCCCGGAAGCATCTTATTATCTCATTCTTTCTTTGGACAAACTGGCAGGCTACCGAATGTAACCTGCCCACACGGCAGAGTCTGGCAAACTCCCCGTGGCTTACCCAATATGCCAAATACCAGTAACAATGATGAGGCTCATTCTACTAACATGGAAAGAGCCTTGAATATGGCACTTTTTAAAAAATTCTCAGGGCTAGGACAAAGGAGACATTACTGGGGCCTGTTCGAGGCAATCGACGAACAACAGGATGGTTGTGATCGTGATCGTGAGCAGATTCCAATTTTGGGGGGGTGGAGGGGGTCATACCAAGAGATCTCAGGGGATCCTCCTGGTTGTGCACTCAGGAATTACTCCTGGCAGTGCTTGGGGGACCATATGGGATGCCAAGGATCGAACCCAAGTTGGCCGTGTGCAAGGCAAACGCTCTCCACGCTGGAATGTCGCTCCAGTCCCACATTCCCATTCTTTGGTCAGGACTATCCAACTAGCCTGAGCCATCAGCTCTGAGGCAGGAGGGGAGGGAAGCTTCCTTGGCGTGTTCCTGACACAAGCCTGGAACATTGCACAATCACCTGGCAGGCTTTCCTCGAGTGGGCACGTGTGGCGACCCCTACATGGACACGGCCAAACAGACCCTGGCAGCTGCTCCTGCTGACCAGTCCTCACGGCTAATTCCTTTGGTCTCTTCTCAGCTCTGACTCCTACCGTGCAATCCACAAGTGGCTGGAGGACATCGGGCCTCTTTACCGATGCCCGAGTCACAAATACGTGGGCCCCTTGAAAGCCACACGCTTTAGATTTGGTGTCATGAGCAACAGCAGAGGGAGGAGAGCCGGAAGGGAGGTGTCCGGGGCCAGAAACCTTTCCCAAGGGATCACACTATCCAGATTCTTTCCTTACGACTTTCATAAGAAATAAATCTCAGTCATGATGCAAATGCCTTAAAATGTTACTGGGCAGCCTTTCAAAATGCAAAAAACTAGAACCAAATATTAGAAACTAAAAAAAATATGAAATTTATTATAACGTGGATAGAGTTTCTTTAGTCTTTCCATCAAAGACACACAGATAGAGCAAAGGAAGCAGGAGTGGGAGGAAAAAGAGAGGGTGAGGTGAGCACGGCAGCGTGTGAGCGCAGAGACAGCCAGACATCAGCACACACAGTGAGCTCAGGACCGCGGACGCTGCCTCCCGGACCCGCAGAGTTCCTGACCAAAGCCCGAGCCTGACATTCTGGTTCTGGTATCTGTCCTTGACCGTCAGGGAAGTGGGGTACGCCGAACAGGACCACTCCGCCCCCGTCTGCTCTGGGCTTTAGCAGTGGTCGGAGCAGGGCAGGACTGGCCCTGCCTTCCGCAGCTGGACCTGTTTTCTTTTATTTATTTATTTATTTATTTATTTTTTTAAATTTTATTTATTTATTTTTATTGAATCACCATGAGAAACTTACAATCTTTCATGTTTGGGCTACAATCACACAATGATCAAACACCCATCCTTCCACCAGTGCACATTCCCCACCACCAATCTCCCAGGTATACCGCCCCCCTTCTACACCCTCCCCCTGCCTCCATGGCAGACAATATTCCCCATATTCTCTCTCTACTTTTGGACATTATGGTTTGCAATACAGACACTGAGAGGTCATCATGTTTGGTCCATTATCTACTTTCATCACAAATCTCCCATCCCGACAGATCTGGACCTGTTTTCAACCTGTCTGAAAACCTAACTTGGAGACAACCCCCCGAAAGAAGCGCTGACTTTCACCTTTGGCACACATCGCGTGCAGCTACGCCGGAGATAACTACAGTCTGGGGAAAACCCGCAGCAAACCCAGGGGCTGGGTGAGTGTAGGCGACGTCCTCTCTCAGAGGCAGCAGTTCTGCGCCTCCATGTGGGAGCCCAGGATGGAGAGAGCCTTCGCCATCAGGACTGCACGCCAACAAGACCCTTGGGGGCAGGCAGCGGTTTCTGCATGAACCCAGGGAAACTGGACCTAAACCCTTCTAGGCTTTCAACCTGAGAGCAGAGCAAATTCCTTTTAGCACTTTATGTACCATCACACTCAGACCTACATCTGAATCCTTTACAATATCTACCTGCCGATGAAGATCCTGAGATTAGCTACAATTGAGTTGTCTTCAGATTTCTGAATCAGACACAGCTTGCCATGATTAACGAGAAGAAACAGTTCAATATTTGTTTTAAAATTTTTTAATAGTTTTAAATTTTTTTACTCCCACAAAAAAAAAATAAAGTCATCATTTGTTCCTTAGATTCACTGAAAGTTTTATTCCTTCGGGGTGGATGGGTGCACACCTGGCCATGCTCAGGGTTTACCATGGCTCTGGGCTCAGGGTACCACATGGGGTGCCAGGGATTGAACCCAGATCAGCTGTGTACAAGACAAGATAGTACCAGTTCTACGACTTCCCCAGCCCCTGAAAGAATGACTTTCCATGGATGGCTGCATAAACATTCCTGGGACATAGGGGGAGAAGGGGAAAAGAGGTGATGAGACAGCAGAGGGAAATGGACAAGTGGTTAAATGGGTCATTTATTTTTTAAAATTTATTTGTGTATTTATTTTTGCCGGAGGTCACGCCCGGCGATGCACAGGGTTACTCCTGGCTCTGCACTCAGAAATTACTCCTGGTGTTGCTCAGGAGACCATATGGGATGCTGGGAATCGAACCCGGGTCGGCCGCGTGCAAGGCCCTACCCTGCTGTGCTACCGCTCCAGCACTAAGTTGCATGCCAAGACGAGTGTCTTAAAAAACAAAACCAAAATGAAACAAAAAACTGCTTCCCGTTCTGACGGATGGTTCCTCCTCAAGCCAGGGGCGCCAGCCTTGATTCTGGGGGGCTGTGCGTTGTGGGGAGCGCGGGGGAGGATGGGACTCTGGTGTCTGTGTGCCCCCAACTTGGGAGTTGTCTCCTGCAAATAGCACCAGGGATGAACCGACCATTTGGGACCAGCTGTGGGGGGCTGGGAGGATGAGCAGATGGAAGGACCTGAAATGGGTGGCAACCGTGGACACGCAGCAGTCCCCGACAATCGCCACTCAAGAGTACAGAGGAGGGGGTCTCCCCGCAACCAGAACTGATGGTGGGGGTGGGGCGGGGGGTGCGCTGTGTCACAGGGAATTACAGCACAGTAGATTTCATGGGAAACGCATTTCCCTTCCTTGTGTCCTCCATCTTCGGCAGCCTGGCAATGGGCTGGACTTGGGGATACTC